TACCCCAAAAGCCTAACCCGAAAAGGTCAACGGGATACAGCGTCACCATCTTCAAGAAGTTTGTATCCCCGTGTTCCCCGGGCTAGTGGAAACTATTTAAGAAGTTCATAGGTACATGCCGCTTTCCGTCCAAGTTGCTATGAACAAGATTCTACCCTAGATGGTCATCTTTACTAACTCTGTCTCGCTTACACAAGTCGATGAGAAGCCAACTGTACGCATATACATCTATGGGTATATTTACTTGAGGAGCGGGTGAACGAAAGCTAGCAGTTGTTGCATGAGATGGGTCGGTGACAGAGTGGATTCATAGGTAGCTTGTGTACAACGAGAGGCCCGGCAAGATTCGTAGGATGCGACACGCAAACGCACATGGTGGCGTGGCAAACCTTGAAAAATGAAAACAACGAGAGGCGTCAGAAGCTGTCTTAAAGCACCTCTGGGTTCTGCATGCAGCGTGTGCAAAGATTCTTGCGAGGTGGTTTACCGAGAAGACTGAGGTCTCAAATGAACAAGCTGAATCGGTGGAACATGTAAAAGTTCGTAGCACCAAGTCCAAAACGGGCAAACCGAGACTGCTGAACACTGAGCCACTGCCCGGGGGGGGGATGGACCAGGGAGGAATCGAGCCTGAAACCGGGGGGGGGGGGGAGGCGGGGGGGGGGGCTAAATAATTGATGTTTTTCAATCTTTTCGGCTCAAATAATTGAAAAAATCAATCTTTCGGCATTTGAGCCCCTTACCTTGCTTACGCAAGGAGAAACTTCAGCTAGCTAAAGCTAGCTTTCGTGATATTTTTAAATTGTTAGCTTGATAAGGACCGTCACGCATCGAACCTACCACAGGGTCCTTAGATGGAAACTTGGAAAGTGGACCACTTTCGAGCTGAAGGCTGCCAGCAAAATGACTAGGCCCTCCAGTAGAGAGGTTAGAATAAAGGTGCCCGATTTTTTTGTAGACTATTTTGGTAGGGGAACCCTCTCCCAGAAAAAAGAAACGGTAAAAGGGCACCTAGTTGGGGGACCTAGATGCACTTCCTGAACACTGACCCTTCTGAAATTCTAGCGTTGTGATGGCCCTTCTAGCGTTGAATAACCCGGCCCGGTTGTGTCATCGCATCTCAAGTTGCTTAGCCTGCCTGAAGAAATAGGGTCGACAGAACCGCGGGAATCGCGCTTTTGTGAGTAACAACCAATACTGTGGATGGACAAAATCCGCTTCGCACCATTGAGTAGGTGGTTTGCTCCAGTGTCCGAACTGCAGGATTTGGCAATCCACAGGACAGTACGTGCGAATGTGGACATTTATCAGGATGTTACTCACTATATACATATATATACATGTCTTGTTTGAGGGTGCCCCTTGTGCTAGTGGTCTTAAAGGAAATTCACAGGAAAACCAGTTCCTTTTTTCTTTGGGGGGGGGCTAAAACAGACACCCCGGAGCCATGAGCAAAGTCCAAAACTGCTCGAGCTGTTCACCTTTTCTTCCCACGCTACCTACCGTCTTTGCCTCCCAAGGGCAGGTTTCTGTTGCACCAATCAGCTGTGATTCAATGTCAGCAAGCCGGATGCCAAGCAGCATCCTAGAAACAAAATGCCAAACAAACTGCCAAAGGGGCACCGGCGTTAAAAAAAAAGTTACTGGGAAGTGGAGACGACTCTGCGAAAAGGTTCCTTTCAACGTGGCCCAACCAGAGCTATAGAAGCTCTCGTGAGATGCAATCGGCGACCGAAACTTCTGGAACGACCAGACCCAACACACCTCCAGCTTGTTGGTCTATTTTAGTCTTAGGGTTCGTGCTTGGGTTAGTCGTGGCTTTGGGCTGGGTAGAAACGACCTCGCTGATCCGCGATCTGCCTGCACGGAGGTTTCCGGGCTGGTGCTGGTCCCATCCTCCATCCAGCGAATGAATCTTGGGGCTTCTCAAAATGCACTTCGGACCCGTTGGCTGGCAGTCACAGCGCAACCACACATACATAATATCTACATATATATATATATATGCATACAGTGTGTTTGCAGTCATTTTATGAAAAAAGAAGGAAGGGGGGGCTGACCATATATATGTGTGTATACACATATATGGTTCCGGTCGGCGAGCGGCCACCCCCCCCCCCAATGGTATCCCCCCCCCTACTTGAGGCGGGGGGGGTGGCCGCTCGCCGACCGGGGTACGACTCTTGAAGCCTTGGCCCCGGAAACACCAGTGGCCGCTGCGCCGACAGCGGGGAGCGCACACCGGGGTACGACTCGAAGCGACTCTTGAAGCCTTGGCACCTAACCCCACCAGCGGGACGACAGGGGGGGGAGAGGCCTTTTGCAAGATGACCATAACCACCAGGGGGGCCCACACACCGGGGGAGAGGCCCGGCCTTTTGAAAGATGATCCATAACCTGCAAAACCAGCGGGGCCACAAAGAGAGCGCACACCACCGGGGTACGACTCGATGCCTTGGCCCTAACCGGAACCATCCACCAAGCGGGCCCACCAGGGGGGCAGAGGGACTTTTGCAAGATGACATAACCTGCAAAAACAGCGGGCACACAGGGGGAGCGCACACCGGGGTACGACTCGAAGCCTTGCCCCTAACCGGAACCCACCAGCGGGAAGACAGGGGGGGGAGAGGCCTTTTGCAAGATGACCATAACCTGCAAAACCAGCGGGCCCACAGGGGGAGCGCACACCGGGGTACGACTCGAAGCCTTGGCCCTAACCGGAACCCACCAGCGGGCCCACAGGGGGGGGAGAGGCCTTTTGCAAGATGACCATAACCTGCAAAACCAGCGGGCCCACAGGGGGAGCGCACACCGGGGTACGACTCGAAGCCTTGGCCCTAACCGGAACCCACCAGCGGGCCCACAGGGGGGGGAGAGGCCTTTTGCAAGATGACCATAACCTGCAAACCCAGCGGGCCCATGGCGGGGGAGGGGGGGGGGTGCCAGACCTCTACCATACATACGCACATATTTATATGTATATATATATATGCAAGTGTTCCCAAAGAGTATCAGGTCCAGAGACTTGGGACGTGAGCTACTTCCATTTGCGCTTCATCCAGGTCGCAAGGACTGCAAAAGCGCACGAAGAGTTCATGGCCCTCCGGCCGGAGTCTTCAACTCGTGAGGTTGTGCATAGCCCTCGGCTCTAAAAGTAGATGCCACGGCTTCGAAACTTGACTTTTCAGACTGGCTCGGCGGCAAAGTTCACTATAAAACAAACTGCGAGTTTACGACCTGAGAGCTTTTGACGGTCTCCGTCGACAAAAGTGGTCACATCCAACATCGCCAGCGTCAAGGAAGTGTCCGCTGACAAAAGGGTTTCAAGCGCGTGCGGCAGGGTGCGGGAGGCAGAATCGTGTAGCTTCAACACTTCTCGCTAAAGAAGCAGATGTCGCAGTTGCAAACGAGTTGTTTAAGGTCATTCGAAGGCAAAGTTCTCTACAAAGCGAACTACGAAGTGGTACTTTTCCTGCCCAACATGAGTCATTCTGACCTCTCGCACGCGTCGAACATTTGGACCAAGTTGACAATTGATTGGAAACAAAACACTTCAAGTGTTTAGGATAAGATTCTCGCAAATGCAAGTTGAACCAAAAATCCCTTTGGAAATATGCCTTCGGCTCAGGGATTAGAGCCCTGCTTGCCAGAAGTCATCTACCGTTGGGCCCTTCCAATTGCGAGGGGCTTCCTTTTGGGTAGCCTCGCCATGCGTGAACTGCCCCTTGCTGAGAACAAGGGGAAATGCAACGCAGCGCGGTTTTTGGCAGGCAGCCAAAAACAAGCGATCATTAGATTGGTGGCTGTTGACCCACTGCAAATAGTTTAACTTTTTGGGGGGTTTAGTGGAAAACCCCTTGTTTTCCCAAAAAATGGTTAAAGCCTAAAGATCCCACCCAATAGCAGTCAAGTTAGGGTCCCTACCAATCCCTACCAGGATCCACCAATGTTGCTTCTTGGCCGTTCTGGTACCCCAAACAAGTCATGAAACCTTCATGGGGCCCCTGTTTCCTGCCAAGGGATCCTCTTGAGTTCACAGCGGATGCGGGCAAAATCGGCACGCATCAAGCCCAGTCCTGAGTCTCCTGAGACGTTTGTGTCTCCTGAGAGGTCTGTGTCTCCCGGGAGGTCTGCGCCTGGCCGGGAACCCAGCGGCCCGCGGCGATGTCCCCGGCTGAATTTTCTCGAACCAGGTGGTGACTGTACCTACCAGAAGGACACCGAACGGAGAGCCAAGACCTGGCAAAAGAAGAGCAGTCCCAAACCGCAAGAATCAAACACCGCCGCAGCTAGAGTTGGTCCCAACTATTCCTTCGCTAGCCAGGTGTTGGTGTGGCCAAAGCAGATGGCCACAGATTCTTCAAGAGGGCGTTGCCACTCACCCGGCACAACTTGTGCCGTTCCTCAGCTGCATCGGCGCCACATGTCGAAGCTTCTTTGACTGTTTTTGATGACGACACGCGGATCACAAGAAACGTTTGTATAAACATGCAACACGATCCTGGGGCAACTGGATCCGGTTTCTGCCACAGAACCGGTTTCCCAAGTTGCCATTGTTCTCAAGAAGCAAGCAAGCGAAAAGCTTGTCCCGATGACAGAGTCTACCTCAGAAAGACACCCCTGCCCATTTTCCTTCTAGTTCTCCTCGCAAGAATACCCTCAAAGGATCACCCATATGGCCGTGGGTCAAAACTAATGGTACCATTGTGCCACCCATTTTAGAACCTATTTTAGTGGTTGGATTGGATGTTCACTGGGGGTACAATTTGGCTTTTGAAAAGCCCATGCCCATCTCTTGGACTTTAGGGTGGGACAAGGACGTTCCGTCTTCAGCCTCCAAGGATGACTCCGCGAAGGACATCTGGCTCAAGCTGGCCTGGAGCATGGGGCCTAAGACCTGGCATAAACCCTGCGGTTCAAAGCATTGGGTTCATACTGTGGATGGACGAAATCCATTTCGCAGCACTTTCAAAATGAAAACAATGGGGGTTCATATGGCTGTGAGTCAAAAACAGGTACCCAAAATGGAACCCTGGAAGACGAAACCAGGGTCTAAAACCTGCGGTCCCCGGTGGTTTAATTTTGACCCATACCCATATAACCACCATTATGAAGCTAAGGATTGTCATCATGTAAATTGGGTCAACCTTTGTTTTAATAGGGGTTGAACCCCAGGGTAAATGTTGGCGTAGCCTCCCACCGATTCACACATGGAGCCGTTCGACGTGCGGGGGATCGGTCCTGGTTTGGACCATTTTCCTTTGAAAGGAACCGAGTCCCGATCAGGCTCTATGTGAAAAGGGTGGGAGTCTTTAGCGGTACCTTCCCCATTCTTTCCAGGGATCCTTCTTTCTAGAAAAACTCCGCAAACCGAGCGATTTTCTGCAAAAGAACGATGGTTGAAAAGAATGACAAGGAATCAACCCCTACATCTTTCAGTCATACCACTGGCACCCAAGAAGAATCCTAGTGGCAAATGGGGAACTCGGTAACCCTTGTTCCATGATCCCAACCAAACTCCCTCCTGGTTCCCTGAAGGTATCTTGTCATACCTTCAAAGTCAAAGGCTGTCAAAGGCTTGGAATGGCTTGGGGGTCACCGCCCTGCCAAAGAACAGGAAGTGCCTCTCGTCACGAGAAAGTTTTGGGGGCGAAACCAAAATGAACCCTTGACCAAACTACGATGTCCATATGGGTCTGGTTTAAAGATGTTTACAAAGGGAATTTATTTGGAGAGTTGAACGACCAAAGCCGAGGCTGGAGCCTTGGCATTTCCAGACCGAGAAGCTCGGCGGACTCCCGGCCTGCGGCATCTCATCATACACGGGCGCCTGAAGGCTCGCTGGAACATGTTGACTTCTTTATGGCCAAGGGGATTCTTATAGGGGTCGCTGGATTTTCGCCTGCAATTAATTTACTGGTGGTTTCCATTGAAACGATCGATCCACTTTTGGAACCCCCCATGGCCAACGAAACTGGCCTCCTGAGCTGCGGAAACCTCCGCTTCCGGCGCTGCTTCCTCCGCTTCCGGCGCTGCTTCCTCCTGCGGAATCCGGGATAAGGCAAACACCCTGGGCCCCACCTTCCCCAAAACCCAAGATCTTGGAAGCTGCTTAAGAGGGTCATTAGAAGACCATTCTGGTTAGGGGGTCCCCTCTAATCATCAGCCCTGACGACTTTGGTACGGTGTCCCCTTGAAGTGGCAGATCGTCACTGTTGGGGGGGAACACCCCGCTAATCATCCACCAGCTTGACCAATCATCACCAATCTGACCAATCCGGGGTCAACATCAGAAGGACCGCAAAAACCAAAAAAAGAAGAAGAAACACACACAACCTCCCGCAACTTCCGGACATAAGTGGGGGTTTGCACCACCTCCACCAAACCCCAAACCCTGCTTGACCCCTCCCATACGAGCTAACTCCATTCGGATCGGATGTGTGAAAATCGGAGAACCCCCAATGAGCGTTGTCCCCTTGGCTTCCCTTTCAATCCGCCCCAAAAACTTGGGCACCCTCCCAAATTACAAGCCACACACCAAAGTAGGGCTGGCCCGATACTAGGTCCTCCAGTGTAGAGGTTAGAAGTTGGTACCAACTTTTTTCTGTAGTCTATTGTGGGGAACCCTCCCCCCAAAAAAAACGGTAAACGGGCACCTAGCTGGGGGACCTAGCCTGGATCCTTGAACGAGTCCCCAGAGATTTCGCAGGCAACGAGGCTCCTCCTCCAGCGCAACCGGTGCCTCCGGCGTCTCAGGCTGCGGCTGAGTTCGGACCTCGAGCGCGGGACTGCAAAGGGACATTGGGGGTTCTCCGATTCTCACGCATCCGATCCGAATGGAGTTAGCCCCCCAAACCAACCAACCAGCCAACCAATCATTGCCACAAAACGGCAACAAGGAACCCCCTTCAAAGTGATAGAGTATGGGGATGGGAAGCCCACTTTTGGCATCACTGGTGCGTTCCCTACATCTCCCCTTCGAAACCTGGCTTACAAGCGCCGCATTTGGAGCCAATGATTGGAGCAGCTTCGGGGTCCATGGCAGCTCCACTTGGGGAGCTTACGCAGCTATTCGCGGGTGGTCCTTTTTTTGAGGGTACCCTTTTTGGGGTGGTTTGAAAAGGAAGCCAAGAGGAGCTCCACATTTTTTTTCGGGGATTCCCCTATTTTGAGCAAAGGCATCAAGCTGATTCGATGCAGGGGTTCACTGGTCTTCACCTTCCGGCCTCATGGCTTGAGCATCCAAGTCACTGGTGCTCAGTAGGCCGGGGAACAACCGCAAGGGAATGTTTAAAGGGGTCATTCCCTCATTCCCTGCTGAGCACCGGCAAGCAACAGTTGGGGAAACAATCAAGCAGCTGACTTTGACCCCACATCTCCATATCCAATGACTGAACTCTGACCTAGTTATGTCCTTTAAAGGAAAACAACCAAGTGGCACTACCCACACAAAAGCCTGGTGAAGGGCCTGCCTTTTTTTGATGGTGCCTCTTTGTTGATGGTTCTGATGCAAACCCACAACTCTGCAAGGTCCCCAAAAAAATGACACACTCGGAGGCTTCTCTCACTATGCTCCAGGTACTCGTTGCCTTCTTTCGGACCTGTTCTTTGGCGTCCTCTCGGCTCACCTTGAAACACTTCGATCGCGCAGATCCATCGGCCCAAATGCCAGGGCCACTGCGCCCTCGCATAGACGGCTCATCCATGCCAGGGCTTGCAAAGCCAATTTGGTACACCAGTGTTCCCCGGACCTCCAGTGGTCATGCAAAAAAACATGGCACCACTCACTACTCCCTGGGGTTCAAACCACCATTAGAACAATTGGGGTTCATAACCACCATTGATTACCTAAGGGTTGTCATCATCTAAATTGGGTCAACCTTGGTGTTGTGGGGTTGGAACCCCACTAACTACTTGGTCCAACAAAAAGGACAGCGGGCACCGCTGAAGGTCCGGGTCATGGATCTCGGAAATTTGTACAGCGCCGAAGCTACCCCAGGCGTTTGCCCCCCGCATTGACCATATCATGAACGTCAAGGGATTCGGACCCAAAATGGGTGGGTTTCAACTATGTCCTCGAGTAGAGAGGAAAGAACAAGGGTACCAACTTTTTCCTGTAGTCTATTGTAGTAGGGGAACCCTCCCAACCAAAACAGAAACGGCAAAAGGGCACCTAGCTGGGGGACCTAGTCAATTTCGGTGTCCCCGAAAACCCACATTGTTTTGGGGCACCCACTCAAAAAGAAACGACAAGACACACACACACACACACAAATCGCAGACATGGTCGTGGCCAAAAAGAAGATGCCGCAGCTCAGAGTCACTCTGGATATTGTCCTGGAAGCAAAATACTCATTCGATTCACGGTTTGCAAACGACCCCCTTCTATCACAAATGAGAAGTCCTCCAGAATAACTTCAAGCCCATCGAACCATCCGAGCCCGGAGGATTCGCAAATCCGCTTCAATGCGGACGCTGAACTTGCCAGGTTTCGGACAACTTTTCAAGTTCCATATGTACTTTTTTATGACGAGATGCGCCAGGGATTGATGAACCCCTAGAAAATATGGGGTATGCATGGGTCAAACTTAAACCACCAGGGGACCGCAGCTTTTCGTCCTGGTTTCCATTTACCAGGGCAAGCCATTTTGGGGTTACCCTATTTTTTACTCATACCCATCTGAAAATCACCCAATCAACTGGTTGGATTTCCTTCAGTCAGAGCCCGTGCCCCAAGGTGAGGCTGGTTCTGGTTCCAGGTTCAAGAAAGCTTACGGGCTGGGACGAACGTGCTTTCAGGGCGTCCTCTTGAGCTTCCAAGAAATCGTTGCTTCCCAGTTACTTCCCTTGGCAAGCTCCCGCTAATTTAATGCCAAAAGCTTTGGTTCAACGAAAAACACACATGCAACCACGTCCATCGCTCGGGTTAAACGTCCTTCCATTTGGTTAAGACCCCGGGAAAAAATGAACATATTTCCAGTAGTGACAGATTCCCTCCAAAACCAACAGGGAAACAAATAATAGACTTTCATTTCAGCAGGTCGGTCATGGGTCAAAAGCTAAGTGAACATCCCAGTCCAACCACTAGAATAGACCAAAAGTTTGGGCACCCCCACTCGACCCAGGCATTCGCCATCGCAGGTCTCCGTCTCCCTCTCCTCGAAGAGCAAGCTCAGCTCAGTAGAGCTGCACCACGAAGCAGTGGGTGATCTGCACGAGGCCCAGCAGCAGGCCGCTGGTCTCCTGCTGGACGTGAAACACCTCCCCCCTAAGGGGAAGGGGGGTGGGGGGTGTCCAATTCCATTCATCTCGTCTTCCCCATAAAAGGGAAAATGGAACCACAAAGGGTTGTTGGGAAAAATGGGATGGGGTTCCCTGAAAAATGGAGGGCACAAAAAAACCATCCAAGCCAGTGGCTTGCCCATCTACCCCTAAGCGAACTAAGCAATCAACTCAAAAAAAAACCAAACTGTGTGTGCCACCTGCTTCTAGTCAAAATGGCCTAAAAAGGCAACCGCTGGTCTCCTGCCACTTGTGGAACAAGAAGTCCCCCCGCAGGCGCTGGAAGCGATAGCACCACTGCCTCGGAACAAGACATCCACGGGCCCAAAAATACGGGAAAACCCCAAGGGCATCGCCAAACCAAATACGTAAAGAAAGAAGGGCACCCCACCCAGGGTGAATTGCTCGCCTGAAAACCCAGACAACCTACTTCAGTTGAGGAAATCCAAGCGGGGACGCGAAAACAGGTCAACCTTCTCTGGCTAAAGTGGACTTGGTATAACTCTAAGCCACACCACCACATTCTGAAGAGCTAACCCAATTATCCCCCAAAATGGATGCAACAACAATTGCCATCGAAGCAACCCTTAGAATAACATGTGACGTGCAAAAATCCGCAGGTCGGGCTTGGACGTCCGGCCTCGGCCCAGAGGCCCAGAGGCCACCGACAAGCTCAGTTCTATGCAACGCAAACAGGGACTGATCGGCCTTGGGAACG